GGGACTAGATATACAGTGGAAGAGTACTTTCTTAGCATGTGCAAGGTCGAGCCCAATACTACAGAGATAGACAAACACAGAGACAGAATGATAGACTGTACATTTACATAGTTACATAGCCATCACCACCAATCCTCTGAGACTTGGGTTTTATTTTTCCATTTTTCAAACATGTATTTATGTGGGCTGTGGTGGAGTGGGGATGGGTGCACCATACCATGTTGCTCCTATGGAAGTTAGAGGATGATTCCTGGGGGTTGGTTTTCTTCCTCTACCATGCGGGTCCTGGAGATGGAGTGCAGGTTGTCAGGCTTAGTGGGAATTGTCTTTATCCACTGAGCCATCTTGCTGGCTCATTTTTCTGTTTTTTGAAAATTTTGTTTATAGATAGGGTCTCATAGCATAAGATGGCCTTAAACTACTTGTACAGCTGGGGCTGGCCTTAAATTCCTGATCCTCCAGCCTCCACTTCTCAAGTATTACAGGCATACAGCCACTATGGCTAGCTTTAAGATTTATGTCTCAAAGAGATGATTTTGAGTGCAGTTTTGAGAATGGATCAGAGAGGCAAAAGGTGTTGGGAACTTCCATGGCCTACAGGGTGGAGGCAAGTAGCCAGAGTTGGTGACGGTATGGGGGAAGTTGTTTTTGGTGGTCTGAAATTTGCTGGTTGCCTGCTTGCTGCTAGGTGCGACAGGAGCAAGCAGAGCTCATTAGAATCAGAGGAACCTCTTCTCTGGTGTCCTTTGAGCGCCCTCTATTGAGGTAAAAAGGGAAATGACCACCCATGTCTGCCAGTGCCCATGGCTTCTTTTTATGGAGCTGTAGAACTGACATTCTGGGATGCTCTTAAGTGAACTGACTAGAAATATAAATCACAGTGAGTTTAAAAGTTGAGATTCTGGGGCTGGAGAGATGGCTCAGCGGTTAAGAGCACTGACTGCTCTTGGAGAGGACCCGGGTTCGATTCCCAGCACCCACATGGTGGCTACGAACTGTCCTTAACTCTAGTTCCAGGGGAATCCGAAGCTCTCTTCTGACCTATGCAGAATTGCACAACATGGGTGCACTCACATACATGCAGGCAATTCACTCATACACATAAAATAAATATTTTTTAAGAAAAGAAGTTGAGCGGGGTGTGGTGGCGCACGCCTGTAGTCCTAGCACTTGGGAGGCAGAGGCAGGCGGATCTCTGTGAGTTCAAGGCCAGCCTGGTCTACATAGTGAGTTCCAGGACAGCTGGGTCTACAGGGAGACCCTGTCTCAAAAAGACCAAAAATAAAAAAAAGTTGAGATTCTGAGCTGGGCATGGTGGAACACACCTTTAATTCCAGCACTCAGGAAGCAGAAGCAGGAGACAAATCTCTGGGTTGGCGGCCAGCCGAGGCCTCAACCAAGTTCAGATTCTAGGGATTTTTAGTAGCATATTTAAAGAAATTTGAACAGTAAAACAAATTACTATAATAAAAATCCCTGGGGGCTGGAGAGATGGCTCAGCGGTTAAGAACATTGGTTGTTCTTGCAGAAGACCCGGGTTCGAATCCCAGCACCCATATGACAGCTAACAACTGTCTGTAACTCCAGTCCCAGGGAATCTGACAGCCTTTTCTCACTGTTACAGGCATTGCACAACATGGGTGCACTTACCTACATGTAGGCAATACACGCAAATACATAAAATAAAAATAAAATAAAAATCCTTTAGTCTATACTGATAATAAAAAATATATCATAAAGCATCTATAACATAAAAATAAGTGGATGCTAACATATGGTATATTTAGATGAACAAGATTTTTCACATAATCTTGGACTGTACCTCTACAAATTATTAATCAGACACCCAAAGAAAAAGGCACCTGGACTGGGGCTGTCCAGCTCAGTAGTAGTAAGCTTGTCTAGCAGTGTGTGAGGCCCTGGGTCTAATCCCCAGCATAAGTGGATAGGTAGGTGGACAGACAGACAGATAATAAGTAGGGAAAGCCTGGAGAGAGAGCTCAGTGATAAGGAGCACTGACTGCTCTTGCAGAGGACCCAGGTTTGGTTCCTAGCACCCACATGGCTGCTGATAACTGTTCTAGTTCCAGGGGATCCAGTGCCATCTTCTTGCCTCAGAGAGCATGCATGCACAGGTACACTTACATACTTGCAGGCAAAACACTCATGCACATAAAATAAAAATAAATAAATTTAAAAAATAAGAAGAAAAAAGACAAGACAAATTACTGTGTCAGTAGATAGCACTTTAGCCAAGTGACCAAACTTAGTACTGCCAGCCAATCCTGAGGACATGACTTTAGCAATGTAATATTCTAGACCTCCCCATAAATTTGTGTGTATGTGCATGCACAGAGGTCAAAGGATAACTTGTAGGAGTCAGTTCTCTCCTTCTACCATATGGGTCCCCAGGATCAAACAGGTTGTCAGACTTGGCGGCATGTACCTCCTCCTATTGAACCATGTCTCCAGCCCCCATGAGCCCTTTCTTACAAGAATATGAAGAAGCAATCAGATAAATCCAAATTAATGGTTGGGGGGGTAATAGCCAATGGTTAGAGGACTGGCCCCAGGTTTAATCCCTAGCACCAAACACACAAAAAAATGTCAAAGTAAGGGTCCTTCAGAACAATTGACAAATTTTTTATAGTTGTCAATTCCATGAAGGATTAAGAACAAAAAAACCTAGGTAACTTTCTTGGTTAAAAGTGACCAAAAAAATAGGGAAACTAGGTACAATGAATGATTCTTGAATAGATATGAGGCTATTTCTAGGGACAAGTTCCACTTGAGGTGCTAGGGCCTGAGGGTTAAGTTCATGTGGAGGTGGCGACTAAGTGTGGGCAAACTTTCCAACAAGGCCAAGGCCAAGTTTTCCTCCTATCTCTGGGACCTGGAGAATTAGCTCAGCAAGATGGATGGTCCAGTGCAGAGAAGTTACTTGGTGTCTTTCCTGAGAAAAGCAACCACAGCTGTCCAGTGACTGAGGGCACTCTGGACTTAACAGGGTTAAAAGAAAGGTCTCCAGAAGCTGGAGAAGGGCTTTTTTAGTGTCTGGCTGTGTGGTCCCCACAGCATGTGCTCTGCAGCTGTGACTGAGAGGCAGGAGATAGCCATGTGTTTATCCAATATGTACAACCTGGATCTTAATTTAAACATATTAAGCATTCTGCTTTTATGTAAATTGTTCTTGGAATGACAAAATTTTTTCTTAATATATTTTATGTATATGAGTATTTCACCTGCATGTATATAAGTACACCACGTGTATGCAGTGCCCATGGAGGCCAGAGGAGATCCCCTGGAACTGAAGTTAAGGACAGTTGTTAGCTACCATGTGGGTGCTGAAAACCAAATCTGGGTCCTCTGGAAGAGCCCCCAGTGCTCTTAACCACTGAGCCATCTCTCTAGTCCTATTTTATATTTTTATTTGTATGTGTGGGTGTCTGTAGAGGCCAGATGAGGATGTTGGATCCCCTGGAACTGGATTTACATTGGTTGTGAACTGGTGTGGGTACTGGGAACAGAACCCAGGTCCTCTAGAAGAGCAGCATACTTCTAAGCTATGTCTCTAGCCCCTGGAATGACAATACTAATTTTTTAAAAGAATTGTGTGTTAGAGGACTGTTTTTGAAAGTTTGAGTCATCACTTATGACCTCTTTAATTGCTACTTTAAAATGTAGCAGTTGGGACTGGAGAGGTGGCTCAGCAGTTAAGAGTACTGGCTACTCTTGCAGAGGACCCAGGTTTAGATCCCAGCACCCACAGGGCAGCTAACAGCTTTCTGTAACTTCAGTTCCAAGGGATCCAATGCCCTCTTCTGGCCTCCTCGGGCATTGCATGACACAGGTGCATTTAACATACATGCAGGCAAAACACTTATACACATAAAAAAATATATATAAACCTTAGTTTGGTGGCTACCACCTTTAATCCCAATACTTGGGATGCAAAGGCAGGTGGACCTCTGTGAGATGGAGACCAGCGTGGTCTACATACCGACTTTCAGGCCAGCTGGGATTGCAGGAAACCCTGTCTCCAAAACAAACAAACAAACAAACATTAAAATTTAACTGTCTCCACATTCAGTGTTGTCTCATGAACCAGGGAGTTTTATTTTGCTGATGTAAATGTAAATGTAGCCAGGTATAATGGCACACACCTGTAATTCCAGCACATGAGAGGCTAGGGTAGAAGGATCACCAGGGTGTTCAAGATCAGCCTGGTCTATATTGTTAAGTTCCAGGCTAGCCTGGACTACATTGTGAAACTTTGTCACAAACAAGTATTTTTTAGGTAACTTTTTCTTGAGAAGCATGTCATCTGTTCTTGGATGTTTACTGTCCTTTTTCTAAGTGCCTCTTTTTTTTTTTTTTTTTTAAATAAAGACATTGCCTCATGTAGCCCTGGCTGGACTGGAACTCACTATGTAGACCAGCCTGCCCTCGATCTCACAGAAATCTACCTGCCTCTGCCTCCTGGGTGCTGAGATTAAAGGTGTGTACCACCATGCCTGGCAAAAGGGAATCTTTAAAAAATTTTTTTTTACTATTTTTTATTTTATGTGTGGTGAGTGTATTACTTGCCTTTATGTAAGTGCACCTGTGTCGTGCAATTCCTGTAGAGGTCAGAAGAGGGCATCGGGTCCCCTGGGACTGGAGTTTGGATGGTTAGCTGCCATGTGGGTGCTGGGAATTGAACCTGGATCCTCTGCAAAAGCAGCCAATGCTCTTAACTTCTGAGCTATCTCACCAGCCCCAAAAGGGAACATTTTTAACACAACCTTTAAGATGTTTGCTGCACATCCCCATAGATGTTCTTTAGCATATTAAGAGAGTTCCCCTTATTCCTAGTTTGAATGGGGTTTGGATTTTATCAAATGCTTTTCTTTTCTGCATCTATGGAAATGAACATGTTCATTTTCTCCTTTAGTCTGCTGATTTGATACCTTTGGCATGGAAATTAAACTCTTTGCATCTTCTGCCCCTCCTCCCCCCAGGTGACTTGTGGAGCTATGATTTCTTCAGTGGTAAGTTTGTGGTGTCACCTGAACCAGATACAAGTGTCCACACCCTTGACCCCCAGAAGCACAAATATATTATCTTGGGGAGTGATGGACTTTGGAATATGATTCCACCTCAAGATGCCATCTCCATGTGCCAAGACCAAGAGGAGAAAAAATACTTGATGGTGAGAAGCAACTCAATAACTTGACACTGTCTTGAAGTGTTTTGGTTCTTTTGTCTGTGGTCTTGAGTGTGAGGAGGAAGTTCATCTTGTATATCCTTGTTGCCCCCAACAAACCTCATTACCATTTACAGTTACTGTCCTTTTTCCATACTCCTGGCAGCCACCACCACCAGCCCTTTCTGTTTCTACATATTTGCCTATTGGGGATATTTCCTATAAATGTAATTCTATACTACATGGTCTTTTGTGTCTACTTTTTAACTTAGTGTAAAGTTTTCGTATCTTTGTTTTCTGGGCCGGAGGATTGAACCAGGAGTTTAACAGATGCTAGGCAAGTGCTTTGGCCCTATACCTCCAGCCCTTTTTTACTTTATTTTGATACAAGGTCTCTGAATTGCTCGGGCTGACCTTAAACTTGGGATTGATCTTTCTGTCTTAGTTGGGATTCCAGATGTGCACCACCATGCCTCACATTTAACCCCCAGTACTTACCAAACCAAAAATCAAATAGAATGTAAAAATAGCAAGTGTATACCACTGCAGTTGGCACATGTGTGTCAAATTTAACCACACGATATCATTTTATTCATTTTTTTGTGTTTTTTTCTTGTATTATTTTTTCTAATTTTATTTATTTTTATTTGATGCATACAGGTGTATTGCCTTCATGTCTGTGAGTGCACCTGTGTCGGGCAGTGACCTTGGAGGTCAGATGAGGGCATTGGATCCTCTGGAACTAGAGTTACAGACAGTTGTTAGCTGCCATGTGGGTGCTGGGAATTGAACCTGGGTCCTCTACAAGAGCAGCCAGTGCTTTTAACTGTTGAGCCATCTCTCAAGCCCTCTTATTTTTTAAACTTACAAATGTACTATTTTAACATACAGAGATTTTGATAATATTTGAAAATTTGAATGCTGTATTTTTCATTATTTTTAAGCATTTTTATTTGTTTATTTGTTTGTTTATATTGCATTCATGGAGCTCAGAGGACAACTGGTGGAACCTGGTTGTCTCCACCATGTAGGTCCCAGTGACTGAACTTGCATCATTAGGCTTGGTGTCAGGCACCTTCATCCACTGAGCCATCTCACTGGACCTACCCAGTTTTCAGTTTGATACAGATGTATTGGGAAGTAAATGAGAGTTAATGTTCTTCCTTCTCCTTGTTCTTTCAAATACAGGGTGAGCATGGACTGTCCTGTGCCAAAATGCTTGTGAACCGAGCACTAGGCCGCTGGAGGCAGCGTATGCTCCGAGCAGATAACACGAGTGCCATTGTAATCTGCATCTCTCCAGGAGTGGACAATCAGGGCACCTTTACCAGTGAAGATGAGCTCTTTCTGAACCTGACTGATAGCCCTTCTTACAACAGCCAAGAAACCTGTGTGATGACTCCTTCCCCAAGTTCTACACCACCAGTCAAGGTATGCCGTCCTGCAGGGTATGTGTGTGTATTTGCATGTTGTGCACATGCCTTAGAGGTCAGAGGTCAACCTTGTGTCTTTCCTCACATGCTATCTACCTTGTGTTCTGAGATGGGGTCTCTCTCTGAGACCTGGGGCTCAACCAATTAGGCTAGACTGACTGACTAGTGAGTTCCAGGGATCCGTCTCTTTCTGCCTCCCCAGCCTGGGATTTCAAGGGTATGCCACTGTGCCACCTTTTTGCATGGAGTCTGGGCATCAAACTCAGGCTCTTATACTTATACACAAAAAGACTTTACTACCCTATTTCTATAGTTTTAAAATTATATTAGTATCATTTACAAATTTTTAGAGAGCTAGCGAGATGGCTCAATGAGTAAGCACACTTGATGTTCTTACAGAGGACCCAGGTTCAATTCTCAGCATCCCACCTCTACCCCCCCAAATCTAGTACAATAAATATATAGTAAATGAAGTGTATTTCGTGTTTTTGTTTTTTGCCATCCTCATAACGTCGTAAGAGCTTACTATCCCATGGCATGAGTTTTTTTGAGCTCAGGATCAATTTTTGTTTTACTGTTTTGTTTTGTTTTGTTTTCAGTCCCTGGAAGAAGATCCATGGCCAAGGCTGAACTCAAAGGACCATATACCTGCCCTTGTTCGTAGTAATGCCTTCTCAGAGAATTTTTTAGAGGTTCCAGCTGACATAGCTCGAGGGAGTATCCAGACTGTAGTGATGGCCCCCAAAGATCCAGAGGCACTTGAAGAAAATTGCCCTAAAACTCTGACTTTAAGGATTCACGATTCTTTGAATAATACCCTGTCAGTTGGCCTTGTACCAACTAATTCAACAAACACCATCATGGACCAAAAAAATTTAAAGATGTCAACTCCAGGTCAAATGAAAGCTCAAGAAGTTGAAAGAACCCCTCCAGCCAGCTTTAAAAGGACACTGGAAGAATCCAACTCTGGCCCCCTTATGAAGAAGCATCGGCGGAATGGCTTGAGCCGCAGTAGTGGGGCTCGGTCCGCCGGCCTCCCCGCCGCCTCCCAGCGCAGGAACTCTGTTAAACTGAGCATGCGGCGCAGACTTAGGGGCCAGAAGAGAATGGGAAACCCCTTACTGCAGCAGCACAGGAAAACTGTGTGTGTCTGCTAAAGTGGGTCTGGCAGATGGGTTTTCTGACTTAGGATGAGGGCTTTTCAAATTTGGTGCCGAAGTTGAACTTTTTTAACGGGACAAAATAAAGAGCATACAGTTTGACTTTTTGGAATTTAAGTTTTATCCTGGCCTTGTACTTGCCTGTATTATAAATGTGAATTTTGTAGATGTAGGGAATCAGTTGTTGTAAAACGTGTGTAAATTTGTATCCTTCACACAAACTCAGTCTCTTACTCCGATACACAGTAATCGTGATAACAGGGCTAACGTTTAAGAAAAATCTATGAGATTTTAAAAATACACTTTAAAACTTTTTAAAACGCTTATTAAAAATTTGTATACACCACTTGTGATGAAGACACAGCTTTTTAAAGTAAATTACTGACCAAACTGGAAACGTGATGTATTTTCATAGTGATATGTGCCCTCTTAATGTTTCCTAGGGACTACTAGTGTCTCAAGCTGTTTTTTTCCTTTCTCATTTCATATAATTCAGGACTAAACATAGGAGAAGCACTGCTGATGTAGCTTGACTTCCATCTCCTGTCTCATACTATGCAGTGTTTTCTAGCTTCAGTAGCATTTTTCTGGAACATTAATCATTGGATATACTTACTAAATCTTTGGCATAGAAGGAGGTATATTTGCCTAAAACAGTGCCCTTCTCAGTCGTCCCAGACCAGTGGCATTATTAGGTCATATAGTTATCCTCTTCTAGTGTTTGCTTAAAATATGTGAAGTTTTTCTTGCCATTTCAATAACAGATGGTGCTGCTAATTCCCAACATTTCTTAAATTATTTTATATCATACAGTTTTCATTGATTATATGAGTATGTTCATCTAATAAATCAGTGAACTGTTCCTCATGTCGCTGGAGTTCTGTTGGTGACTTCATGGTATATATTAACAGTCTTGTGTGATATAATCATGCTTTTTTGACTTGAAATACATATAATACTCATTTTTTTACTCTGAAGTTTTTATTTTAATACATAGCACACAGAAACAATCCAAATGTCTAACAGTGTGATTAAGCCAGTTATAGCTTATGAGTATTTAGTAAAACTCTGATCCGTTTCTTTGATAATAGAGTAAAAAACTGAAAGGAACATACTAAACACATAAATTTGGCATGTGTGGGCAATTGTGCTCTCTAATGAGAAAAATCTTAAATCTTAAAGTCTCATTGAAAGTTGAGGATGTAGCTCAATTGCCTCACAAGTATGAAGCCCCAAGTTTGATTCCCAGCACTGCAGAAACCAGGTCTAGTGACCTATACCTGGAATGCATTCAGGAGGCAGAGGCAGGGGGATCAGGGGCTCAAAGTCATCCTCAGCTACAAAACCAGTCTGGGATACATGAGACACTGTCTCAAACAAATAAACAAAAAGTGGAAAAAAAAACAAAACCCCAAACCCTGAGCGGGGTAACAAGTGATGGACAGGAAAGAAAGGGTTAGGGGTTAGTTCAGTGTGGTGGGGTGTTCACCTAAGAGGCTCTGCTTTTGACCCTTAATACTAGCAAAGCAAAGATCACTTTGGGCACTTGCTGTGTTGCCTGCTACATTTGATACACCCGGGATGTGTCACCCGGGATGGCATTGTTGGGAAATGATGGAATGTATAGCAGCTGGGAGGGAGACCTCCAGTGGGAGATCTTTATGCCATCAGGGGTATGCTACTAAAGGGAATTATACGTTCCTTTTTTTTGAGACAGGGTCTCCCTGTAGCCCCAGCTGTCCTGGAACTCACTCTGTAGACCAGGCTGGCCTTGAACTCACAGAGATCTGCCTGCCTCTGCCTCCTGAGTGCTGGGATTAAAGGCATGCACCACCACACCCGGCCCTGGTTCCCTCTTTTTAATAATTCTTAACGTGAATTGGACAAATGAATGGGTTTCATGATGTGTCTATACATGTGCATGCATCTGCACTGATGATGTCCACCTGTCAGCTATCCTGTCCTCTCATTCCCCCTCCACCCAGTCCCACATAGTCCCTGAAGATGAATTTCTTTTGGTTTTCTGGTTTTTAAAATTTATTTTTATTTTATGTGTATGAATGTTTTGCCTGTGTGTATGTAAGTGTGCCCATGTTGTGCAATATCCTTAGAAGCCAGAAATGGGCATCAGATCCCCTGGAACTGGAGTTGCTGACAGTTGTTAGCTGCCATGTGGGTTCTAGAAACCAAACCCAGGATCTCTGCAAGAGCAGCTAGTGCTCTTAACCACTGAACTATTTCTCCAGCCCCTAGTTCTGAAATTTTCATTTATTGTTGTTCTTTGAGACTGGGTCTTGTTATGTAGGCCAGACCCACCTTGAACCTGCCACCCTTCCACCTCAGCCTGTGCGGTGCTCAGATTTTAGGCATCCACTACCACAAGAGGTAAGGACTTTTGGGTTCTGATCTATGGTCATTTGAAAGGTAATCTAGTACACTAAGTAAATTTTAGACATCTCCAGCTAGTAATTTGTTAAAATAATCTTTAATACCAATCAGAACAAAGATCGCTGGACGTGGTGGTGCACGCCTGTCTTCCCAGCACTTGGGAGGCAGAGGCAGGCGAATCTGTGTGTTTGAGGCCAGCCTGATCTACATAGTGAATTCTAGGCTAGCCAGGGCTACCTAATGAGACCCTGTCTTTAAAAAAAAAAAAAAATCAGAACAAAGATCTAACTGGAAGACCTTCCCACTGAAAACAAATTTCTTGGTTGAGAGTGTGTCATTGTTGTGATAGTGAATGCCTGCCTACAGTCAGCACTTGGATGGTGAGAAAAGCGGATCAGGTGTTTAGGATCCTCAGCCATATGGTGAGTCCAAGGCCATTACCATTGTGACAAGCTACAGTCAGGTGTTACCTGTTGAAGAACAATGCTAATGGGAATACGCTGTTTAGCTACATGACTTCTGAAACTGGTGATGTGAGCAAATAGCCCAAAGCAAATGGTGTTGGAGTGTTTGTTCTGTTCTTTTCACCCCTTTTTTTGAGACTATCTTGCTACATAGCACAGGCTGGTCTTAAACCCATTATGTAGCCTAGGGTGGCATTTAACTTGAAGCAATTCTCCTGTCTCAGCCTCCTGAGTGCTGCGATTACAGCTGTGAGTTACCATGGTAGGGTTGTTTGTTTATTGAGATAGGGTCTCAAGTACTCAGGCTGTCCTCCAATGTAGCCAAGGCTGTTCTTGGATCTCTGGTCCTGTCTCTGTCTCCCAAGTGTTAATGTTTGTTTATTTACATTTATTTGTGTGTGGGGGGGGTCAGAATACAGCTTGTGGAAACTGGCTCTGTGTGTGTGTGTGTGTGTGTGTGTTGTGTGTTTGTAGGTGTAGATCAGAGGACAGCTTGTGGAAACTGCCGTTTTCCTTACAACAAGTGGATCCCAGGGATCCAACTGAGGTCAGGTTTGGCAGCAAGTGCTTTTACCTGCAGAACCATCTCACTGGTGCCAATTTTTAAACACACAATGCTTGTAGGCCAGCAGTGCCTCTTGAGATTGGCTCATTGAAAATATATGGATCTAAAATGACTGCCTTTATTGCAGTCATTCCCTCCTGAAAGCCCTGGACTTCACTTAAGGTAACCTTTTAGCTTCGTTATGAGCTCATCTGCATGCTGACATACCTTCCAGTGCCAACACAGTTGACATTGGCATGACAGTGACTGGAAAGAAACCATAAAGGAAGCAGGGCGAGGTGGTGAGAGGGTTCAGTGTTAGCTCACACTAGTCCTTAGAAAGGGCCGGAGTTCAGGTCCCACCTCCACACCAGGCAGTTCACAACGACCAAAGTAGCATCTTTCTTGGATCTAAAACCCTCTTCTGGCCTCTGTAGGCACAACACTCAATGTACACAAACCCACAGTCACACACACACATAATTAAAAAAATAAGGGTTTGGAGATGGGTGTGGTGGCGCACGCTGTTAATCCCAGCACTCGGGAGGCAGAGGCAGGTGGATCTCTGTGAGTTCAAGGCCAGTCTGGTCTACATAGTTCCAGGACAGCTGGAGCTACAGTGAGACCCTGTCTCAAAAAGACCAAAATAAAAAGGGTTTGGAGCGATGGCTTCACAGGTAAAAGCACTTGCTGTTCTTTTCAGTGGACTTGAATTCAGTTCCCAGCATGCACATTGGGTGGCTCACAACCACCTATAACTCAAGCTCCAGGGGATCTAATACCCCCTTCTGGCCTGTTTGAGGACTCTATCCTTACTTCCCTTAGCCTTTATATTCTGGTGCTTGTAGTACTTAGTATGCATCATGAGCACCTGAAAGTCCCTTGCTGGAACTGCTTTCCAGACCTCAAGGTCCTTGGTCTGTGACTCCTGACCACCATTTGCCCATCATGAGGGCATTCCTTTTGATCTCTTGAAAAAAGCCTAACTTGCCATTCGCAATGGAAGGTTCTTGCCCAAGGCAGTTCTTTCATGGGACATGAAGGCAGCAGAAAAAGAAGCTCGATCCACTCTAGTTTAACTGGCCACTTCCTTTGGGGATCTCCTCACCACGCACATTGCGAGAACCTCTTGTCTCTCCCCTCATTCTTTTCTCTTTGGATGGGAAGGAACCTAGTGTGTGTGACTGGCATCTGTGCCCACTGAGCAGAACATTTTCTCCTGCCGTCTGTGGCCTATGGCAGGTGCTTGCACAGCTGACACTCCCCCTTCTGGCCCAACTTCCTGATCCAACAGACTTACAGATAACCTGACTTTGACTTCCCCAGGAAATCTCTCCTTTCACCTCATGACTGATCTGTGATTGAGTTCAGATTCTGAGTTTCAGATTCTGAGTCTCCTTTTGAGGCTGGAATTGGTCCAACCAGCAGGAAGCTTTGGCCCCAGTGCTGTGGTTGATTGAAGAAAAATCAGCTTTCACTTTTGTGTGCTACAGGCTTTCTTTTTCTGGGGGGACACTCCAGGGTAGACCATTTACCTCAGACCCCTTGTAGACAGATGGGATGTATATTACCCACCAAGGATGCCTTTTGGGTAGATGTTACACCCCGACAGGCCCACAAGGGATCACACATAGTACACTCCCTATGACTTGCCCCTGGGAAGTATTCTCAAAAATGGTCTAGGCTGGCAAGATGGCTCAGGGGTCAAAGGTGCTTGTTGTGCATGCCTAGCAACCTGAGTTCAATCCTCAGAACCCATGTAAAGGAAGAAGAGAAATGACTCCACAAAGTTGTCCTCTGACCTCCACATGTGCACTGTGGTGTGTACCGCCTCCCCCCAGCATATTCGCTCTCTCTCTCTAACATTAAAAAAAATATGTAGCCCTAGAGGACCTGCAACTTAATATATTGGCCTCAAACTCAGATCCGCCTGCCTGCCTGCTAGGATTAAAGGCATGCACCACTACCACTGGCTAAAACGGTTCTTTTCAAATTGATCTAAATGTTATCCTCAGATCCTCAAAAGAAATGGATTGTTTTCTTTTGTAACAACACCTGGTTTTTGAACACTCTCCCAGACCAGGAGCTCTGGATCCCCTAATTGGGTGCTGAACTATCACACCATCCTATCAGTGATCTCTTTTGTAACTTATGAAAGGCCTCTAGGGTTCCTTATAGTCAGCCTTTCATGGCCTTGTACAGAACCCTCCACTACAGGAGGGGTGTTGTATATGCCTTACTTCTGACAGTAGCCCCAGGTGACATCCTCAGTGTTCCTTCCTTTGGACTCAGTCAAACCCCTGCTCAACCCAGGGTTCACTCTCAGACTTCTCCACTCCTCTCTGCTCAACAACTCTGCTCCCCTTTTGACTCCTTCCATTCCTCTTCTTTCCTTTCTACTTGTGGAACTCTCTCCAAACACCCTCTCCCTTACCCGGATTCACTCTCACATTCGCTCAAG